TATGATCAATATATCCCTATTAACAGGCTATGTACCACAGTCTTTTAAGGTAGCTGTAATTAAACCTCTCCTAAAAAAGCCCACCCTGGATCCAGAGGTGTTAGCCAACTATAGACCAATATCTAATCTTCCCTTTATGTCAAAGATCCTTGAGAAAGTAGTCGCAGACCAGCTGTGTGATTTTCTCCAGGATAATAATTTATTTGAGGAATTTCAGTCAGGATTTAGAGTGCATCATAGCACTGAGACAGCTCTAGTTAAAATTACAAATGACCTTCTGATTGCTTCAGACAAAGGACTCGTCTCTGTTCTTGTTTTATTAGATCTTAGTGCGGCGTTTGACACAATTGACCATCAAATTCTACTGCAGAGACTGGATCACTTAATTGGCCTAAAAGGTTCAGCACTAAGCTGGTTTAAATCTTATTTATCTGATCGTTTTCAATTTGTTGACGTTCGTAATGAATCATCCTTACGTACCAAAGTTTGTTTTGGAGTTCCGCAAGGTTCTGTGCTCGGACCAATCCTATTTACTCTATATATGCTTCCTTTAGGTAACATCATTAGAAATCACTCTATAAATTTCCATTGTTATGCGGATGATACACAGTTGTATTTATCGATGAAGCCAGAAGAAAGTAATCAATTAACTAAACTCCATAACTGCCTTAAAGACATAAAAAATTGGATGAGCACCAATTTCCTGATGTTAAATTCAGACAAAACTGAAGTTATTGTTCTTGGCCCCAAACAACTCAGAGACTCTTTATCTGATGACATAGTTTCTCTAGATGGCATTGCTCTGGCCTCTAGCACTACCGTAAGAAACCTCGGAGTAATATTTGATCAAGATTTGTCTTTTAATTCTCATTTAAAGCAAACCTCACGGACTGCATTTTTTCATCTGCGTAATATTGCGAAAATTAGGCCTATCCTGACCCGAAAAGATGCAGAAAAATTGGTCCACGCTTTTGTTACCTCAAGGCTGGATTACTGTAACTCTCTATTATCAGGTAGCTCTAGTAAGTCCTTAAAAACTCTCCAGCTAATTCAGAATGCAGCAGCACGTGTACTAACAGGAACTAAGAAACGAGATCATATTTCTCCTGTTTTAGCTTCTCTGCACTGGCTCCCTGTAAAATCCAGAATTGAATTTAAAATCCTACTGTTAACTTATAAAGCTCTAAATGGTCAAGCTCCGTCATATCTTAGAGAGCTCATAGTGCCATATTATCCCACCAGAACACTGCGCTCTGAGAACGCAGGGTTACTCGTGGTCCCTAAAGTCTCCAAAAGCAGATCAGGAGCCAGAGCCTTCAGCTATCAGGCTCCTCTCCTGTGGAATCATCTTCCTGTTACGGTCCGGGAGGCAGACACCGTCTCCACATTTAAGACTAGACTTAAGACTTTCCTCTTTGATAAAGCTTATAGTTAGGGCTGGCTCAGGCTTGCCCTGTACCAGCCCCTAGTTAGGCTGACTTAGGCCTAGTCTGCCGGAGGACCCCCTATAATACACCGGGCTCCCTCTCTCTCCCTCTCTCTCTCTCTCTCTCTCTCTCTCTCTCTCTCTCTCTCTCACTCTCATCCTATTACTGCATCTTGCTAACTCGGCCATTCTGGATGTCACTAACTCGGCTTCTTCTCCGGAGCCTTTGTGCTCCACTGTCTCTCAGATTAACTCATACCGCAGCGGTGCCTGGACAGCGTGACGTGTGTGGTTGTGCTGCTGCCGTGGTCCTGCCAGATGCCTCCTGCTGCTGCTGCCATCATTAGTCATTAGTCATACTTCTACTGTTATTATACACATATGACTATTGTCACACAAGTATACTGTCAGATATTAATACATACTTTCAACATATTGTACCACAGTAGCCAGAACTATAACTATAATATTATTACTTTCATTAATGTTGTTGTAAGCTACTGTCATTACCTGCATCTCTCTCTCTCTCTCTCTCTCTCTCTCTCTCTCTCTGTCTCATTGTGTCATATGGATTACTGTTAATTTATTATGCTGATCTGTTCTGTACGACATCTATTGCACGTCTGTCCGTCCTGGAAGAGGGATCCCTCCTCAGTTGCTCTTCCTGAGGTTTCTACCGTTTTTTTTCCCCGTTAAAGGGGTTTTTTTGGAGAGTTTTTCCTTATCCGCTGTGAGGGTCATAAGGACAGAGGGATGTTGTATGCTGTAAAGCCCTGTGAGGCAAATTGTGATTTGTGATATTGGGCTTTATAAATAAAATTGAAAATTGAATAGAATTTTGCTGTTGTTAAATGTGGACCCCTATGACTTCAATTCATCAAGAATTTCTCCTCTTTTGGATTCTTTGTCCATGGAGTCATGCAAGAAAAACAAAGTTTTCTTATCGAATTCAATGTAACACAGGGTGAGTAACTGATATACAAGTAGTCAATTGGGGGGTGAGGTAATCCTTTAAAATATACTGGATGATGCATTAAGTTGGGTAAACATTTACTAATTGGAAGGAGCTGGTGTTCGAACAGTAGTGGACTGGTTAATCTTTAATTTTAATGCTCTACCAAAGATGAAAGGCATGCATGAATACTGGTGTAAAACAAACCGTAAGATGAGCTGGATGAGTACATGCCTGACAGATACATATGTGTAGTATCAGTGAGACATTAATAAAAGATCACGTTATGGTATTAGGAGGTGGAATGTAATTCTTTTTCTGACTGACTCTGGGCTGACTGAGGTACTTAAATCAGTGTTATGCCAACTGTCTGTAACCTCCTTTTCTTCTGAAAAACAAATTTCCTCCAGTCTGATATGTTTTATGTATGAAGCCGTTCCAAAATCAACTTTTGTTTTGCCAAAATGCTAATGTAAGCCCCCAGGTAATCCTAGTTTTAAGCAGCTCACTTCCACCATATTGAGGAATGCTGTGAAACTAATTTCACATGTGGCGACTTGTCATTTAAAGGAATAGTTCGACATTTTGGGAAACACACCTATTTGCCTTCTTGCTAAGAGTTAGATGAGAAGATTGATAGTATACCAGTATTTTAAACACAGGAAAACCCACTGAAATAGGCAGCAGATGAGTATGCCTTTCTGAGTGTTTTTTTGTGTGTGTGTGTGTGTGTCACGTTCGACATCACGGACAGGCCACAGAACAGGCCACAGAACAGGTCAGTAAACAGTAGCACAAGCCCGCGTCTCTAACTTATTCAGTCTCTCTTTCAAACTCGGTCAGACTAATTTGGAACGATGTTTGATCACTGCTTGGGCAGAGACGGATGGTATTCTGTGGTGGCACGTCATTGCATGTCACTGGTAAAGGAGCTAAAATTAGTGTGTTCACCCAGGTGTTGTGTTTCCATCAATACAGATCAGAGCCAGAGCCGGTAAATACCCGTGTCTACTGCAGAGCCATTTAACCCAGATGTGAATGCTAATTTTAACCTTTTCCATTACATTAAGAAGCTAGATGTTAGCAGCTGTTCGTGGGTTTTCTGTGGAGTGGGAAAGGGGCTTTAAATACGTAAATATGGTGCTGCAGCCAGGAGGTGGTTAGCTTAGCTTAGAATAAAACACTGAAAGAGACACCAGAAAGTAAGCAAGGAAATAGTCTGGCACATAACCCCCCCCCCCCGCCCCCCCACATAGAAGTCTAAAAAATTTTGTTTTTTGTACAGATGATATTAATTTGATATGATGTTATAATAACTGAACTGTAGAGGTGTTGTATTTTTTAATCTTTTGCAACCAGCTGAAACTTCTCCCAGTTTGATTCCTTCAGTGTTCATTGTTCAGGAAGATTTTACCATGAGCTGAATTATCAGCAGAGGTCTCCTCCTCTCCAGAGCAAATGGACCTGGTGATCCAAACCAGTAAAAACACCAAAAGAGCAGTGTCATGTTACAAATTTTTCCATTGCAGTTTGGCATGGCTCAGACAGACCACTCGCCAAGCACCTGCTATGTTTTCTCACCTATTTTCTGATCCAGATGTTCAGGAGGTTTTTACCAGGAGCCGAATTTTTCACAGAGGTCTCTTCCTCTCCAAAACAAATAGACCCAAGGATTTAAACCAGTAAAAACACTGGATAAAGCAGTTTCATATTAAACAAAAATCAGCATTTTTCCAACACCTTTGCTGTGGCTGCAAACTATATTGGCCGACACGAAAACGCAAATGGCCCTATGTAGAGCCAGTGTTTGTTTTGTCTGCTCTGGGCTACTGTAGAAACATGATGGTGCATTCAACTCTCAGCATTAAAGTGAAAAGGTATGTTCCCCAAAGTGTCAAGCTTTTTCTTTAAAATAGCACCAGGGTCAGTGTGATTATGCAGCACTGTGTGCGGTCTGAAATGAGTTTCAGTAACATTTCAATACACATAATTAAATACAAACACCTTGACAAAGGCACATTAATAGAGGGATTCAGTCATGATCACAAATAATACAAACATATGGGCACGATCACACATGGTGTGAATGAATATTAGTGTTCTAAATCACTTAAAACTGAAAAGGACATGAATTCAAACTAACTGTGGACAAAATTTAAAGGTGCAGAAACATGGACGGCATGCATCATGATATAAATACAATAAGAAGCCGACACGAAGGTTACAGTCATACAGTACTCGTGCTACAGCGGTGGCAAGCGAGACATTACCTAAGTTGTTGCTGAAGCTTCAATGAGCTGTGAACAATATAAACAACCAAGCCAGTGATGATGAGCTTTTCAAAGTTGAACAGAAGTGTTTGTTATGTTTTATTAGACTCGCATAAAGCACTTAGCCTGCCTACCTGTTAAATGGGAATGTGTCAACAACTGCATGCAAGATCATTTAAACATTATCCAACAGGTAATTTGCTAAATGTGTGTCCTCTGTTGGCGAGTGAGTAAATTTAATGGAGCATTTTGACTTTTGCAGGTCAAAGACAGTTCATTTAGACTATAACCATCCTGTTGGGTAACAGTTTATCTCTTTAAAAGCTACTCTTTTCTCTCCCATTCTTCTTACCTCTATGTCAATCTCCGGATGTACGATGACTGGGCAGACAGCTGTGGGTCTGACAAGTCCTGACCTGGAGGTCACTGCTTCTTCTGCTGATGTAAAATAGATAATTATGCTGTGGGAGCCTAATTAGTCTGAACAGAGAGAAAGCAATAATCTTGTTTAAGAGAACACAACTGTTATTATCAGCTGCATCTTTTTATCTACAGTGTAAGGGGCACTCCACAGATTTGCGTCATGTCATCTGTGCTGCATTATATACTGGTCATTTACAGTAGGAGGCAGGGGAAGTCTAATGAAGACACTTCCAGTAGAGAAAACATACTGTAGGATGTAGGATTCTGCATCTGTGAAACCTGACTCACATCCGACTTAAAGTCAGGCCATCTCACACTGTAATGCATCTATTTTTACCTTTCCTTTAGTTATGCCAAACTTCATCGAAGTGCAATACTTGCACAGTAGCACTTTAACTAAACTGATCACCTATACAACCTCTGCAATGCCCAACCCAAGCACCAGAAAAAATGTTGGCATTGTACGTTTCTGCAAACCATGGATACGTTACATGTGTGTGTTATTATGTAGCAGATAAAACTTAACATTTCAGTATCACTGTGGAACACGTGTGGTTAGGTTTGACACAAAAATCACATGGTTATGGTGAGGAAAAGATCATGTTTTGGTCTAAAATATCCAGTTTTAGGGTGGCACAGGGGTACAGTGGTTAGCACTGTCGCCTCACAGGGTGGGTGAGCCCTTCTGTGTCTCCTTGTGCTAGCCTGGGTTGTCTCCAGGTACTCCAGTTTCCTCCCACAGTCCAATGACATGCAGGTTAACTGGTGACTCTGAATTGTCCGTAGGTGTGAATGTGAGTGTGAATGGTTGTCTGTCTCTATGTGTCAGCCCTGTGATAGCCTGGTGACCTGTCCAGGATGTACCCTGCCTCTAGCCCAGTGTCAGCTGGGATAGGCTCCAGCCCCCTGCAACCCTCAACAGGACAAGTGGTTACAGAAAATGAATGCATACCAGTTTTAAAGGCACAATCCCTGCTGGAAAAGCAGCGATGTCTTAGTTAAAACAAGAGAATTTCATGCCATTATCCCAGCAGAAAAGCAGCAATATCTTGGTAAACAAAATCTGTAGTGCTATCTCTACTGGAAAAACAGGTCGCTACAAAACACCTACATTTGGTGCCTAAAAAGCTGCTGGATACACAGCAATAACTCCCTAAATCATAACCTGTCTTGTTGTTTGCTGGTCTCAAACAGTGGTCTTTGGCTTGGCAGGTGTCTTGCCTTGGTGACATGCCGTCCAACATCCCCTCCACTTCCAAATAACAAAATCAACTCACACACTGCATAACTTTGAAAGCGTTGATACACATGAAATGTGCAAATGCAAGGTATTCATGGTTTGCAGAGAAGTACAATGCCAACATTTTCTTCTGGCACCTGGGCTGTCAATACCATCTGGCGTTGCAGTGATATACTGGTTTCAAGGTATATCATGATATAAAAGACTTTTTACGCATACTTCCATCAACAAAATGGTTAGTTAGTTAGTCAATAATAGTAATAAAAACTTTGTTCAACGAACACTAAGTCTTCCTTTTTCATTCCTTTAAGGGTCATTCTGACTGATAATAATATAATTTCTGTAATACCGTGATACCATGAAACCGTATATTTCTGAGACCGTTATGGTACTGTGAAAATCTCATACTGTTGCAACCCTAAAACCATCATGTAGTTTTCCATTATATTAATGTTTAATCATTTGTATCTTCTTTTTCTAAGATAGCAAATCATAATGGCAATAGTGATTCTGGACAACAACACTCATACTGCACCTTTGTCCTTTTCCAGCTCATCCTCTGAATCAAAATTATCCTGCGCACTGAAAGAAAAGAGAGACATTATGGGTTATGGGACAATATAAAAACAAAACACGAACAATTCAATAGTAAACTCTACATGATCTAGCGTCTAGAAAACAACATTGTATTAACACAAAAAAGAGGTCTAATAATAATTATGCTTTTAAAATACACAGTCTATACAGTCATATCTTTACACAGTCTCATGCTGGTTGAAATGTGGGCAGATACAGTAGCTGAGACCTTTAAAATAAGAAATTTGGATCTACAGTGACACAAGAAAATGTCCATTTGTGTACTATGGCTTTGTAGCCAAATCCTCCACCAGATTATCCACACAGTTTTTTATTTAAGACTCATCTTTGGCTATAAAAGCAGCATCTGAATCAGCTGACAAACACAGAAGCCATGTCTGAAAAGAAGAGGCACATTTTGGGCTGAGACTGAAAATAGTATTTAATGCATAAAGAAGGTGGATTTTAAAAGGCAGTGGAAGGTGGTCATACACCATCATCGACACCTGTTATGGATAATTAGGCTTAATATTTGCTGATGCAGTTTGGCTGTTAATATGCTGAATTAGCCATTTTAATAGAATATGACCAGGTATTGCTTTGTTCTGTATTGTACATTTTGTTTCTGAACTGCTGCACCGAGTCTTTTAACGCCAAACGCCTCAGTGATGACACATCTCATTAGAGTGTTTTTTAAAATAGATGGTGAGGTGGGAAATTACTGAGTGAGGTATTGTGAACTGAGGGTAAAGGGTCAATGAAAAGTACAAGCACGATAAAAGCTGGCAGAAGTCATATTTCTAAATTGAAGTTGATGGATCGGATGTAATTGCGGTGACAGTACATTTCAGCAAAATGTCTTTCACTGCCCGTTGACATATAATCCATGTCCTTGTAACAACTGTGACAGGTGTTTTCACGTTGCTACATCAGATCCTGAATATCTATAACTCATGGGAGAATTGATAATATATAGCCTTGATTTGTTTTAAAATCATCTGCAAAAATAATGACGCAGAAATGTTTTCTGTAAGGCAGCAACTCTGTTGAATGAGTGGAGGTGCAACGTTGCCAAGAGTCCTGCAAAGGATGCCAAAAGAAATAAAGGTCAAGAAGTGTGATAAGCATGTGACAGGAGCAGCACAAATAGAGGGGGAATAACCCGAGGAGCTGTGCATGCTCCCTCTGCTTATTGCACTTGCAGTTTTGCATCAGCTGGGTAGATTTAAACTCTGATAGAGATCTGACAAAGATCTTTGCATTATATGTGCCTGGTGTTGTGAAGTCAACAAATGCTAAGCTGTACACACCCTGTCAACAAGTTTTCAAGCTCTATTATGGCAAGCACAGTATCCTCATGGGAAACTGCAACAGCAACAGAGCGTAATTTTTTTGGAAAAATCAACTGAATTTCTAAAAAACGCTTTTCATTATTCATTTTAAAATCACATTTGAGGTGTCAGGTTGACATAGCTCTTACTCAGTAACACGTCTGGTCCAAACCCTTTGAATAATTCAGTTCCATGGTGCGACCTGAGCCTGATAGTGCAGAAACAAACAGGGTTTAGTGTGATAATGTGGGCAGTATGTGCAGAGGTCTATGTCCAGTATAAAAGATCTAAAGACAGGTTTGGATACAGTAAAAGGGAAACCTTTTTTCAACCTGGATCCTAATTTCCCATGTATTTGTGTCTAAGTGACTAATGGAGAAAACGAGTTTTGAAACTGGTCTAGTACTAAACAAGAGTGCTGTAGCTGGCAGCAGCAAAACAGGCCTCAATATAACCACTTGTGGCATTTGGCACCGTCAATTTATGTCTGCTAAAAGTGACTTCTCTTTGAGCGAGACTTAGTTACAGACGATAACAAACAGACCAGATCAAGTGAAAAGTAAAGAAAAATGTTTCATTTCTCTGAAGGGTCCTTTCCAAAATGTTGTTAGACACTTATAACAACAATCTGAGCCTGTGGGTGGCAAATACATCCACTTTAGTGGATGGACATTGACAATGCCAAATGGGTGCAAGTTTATGGGGGACATTTGTTCCCAGGATCCGAAGTTTCTAGGGTCCTAAGTTCCCAAGATCCTATTTTCCCAGAATACTATGCTCCCGGGGTCTTATATTCCAAGGATCTTATGTTCCCAGGGTCCTATGTCCCTAAGATCTTATGTTCCCAGGATCCTATGTCCCTAAGATCTTATGTTCTCAGGGTCCTATGTTCCCAAGATCCTATGGTCTCTGGATACTATGCTCCCAGGGTCCTTTGTTCCCAGGGTCCTGTGTTCCCAAGATCTTATGTTCTCAGGGTCCTATGTTCCCAAGATCCTATGTTCTCTGGATACTATGCTCCCAGGGTCTTATGTTCCTAGGGTGCTATGTTTACAGAGTCCTATGTTTCCACGATTCTATGTTCCATGGTCCTGGTCCCTCTGTTCCCAAGATCATATATTACCAGGGTCCCATATTTCCAGGGTCCTATGTTCCCAAGATCCTATGTTCCAAGGGTCCTATGTCCCTAAGATCTTATGTTCTCAGGGTCCTACGTTCCCAAGATCCTATGTTACCAGTGTCCTATGTCCCAAAGATCTTATGTTACCAGGGTCCTATGTCCCTAAGATCTTATGTGCTCAGGGTCCTGTGTTCCCAAGATATGTTCTCTGGATACTATGCTCCCAGGGTCCTGTGTTCCCAAGATCTTAAGTTCTCAGGGTCCTATGTTCCCAAGATCTTATGTTCTCTGGATACTATGCTCCCAGGGTCTTATGTTCCTAGGGTGCTATGTTTACAGAGTCCTATGTTTCCACGATTCTATGTTCCATGGTCCTGGTCCCTCTGTTCCCAAGATCATATATTACCAGGGTCCCATATTTCCAGGGTCCTATGTTCCCAAGATCCTATGTTCCAAGGGTCCTATGTCCCTAAGATCTTATGTTCTCAGGGTCCTACGTTCCCAAGATCCTATGTTACCAGTGTCCTATGTCCCAAAGATCTTATGTTACCAGGGTCCTATGTCCCTAAGATCTTATGTGCTCAGGGTCCTGTGTTCCCAAGATATGTTCTCTGGATACTATGCTCCCAGGGTCCTGTGTTCCCAAGATCTTAAGTTCTCAGGGTCCTATGTTCCCAAGATCTTATGTTCTCTGGATACTATGCTCCCAGGGTCTTATGTTCCTAGGGTGCTATGTTTACAGAGTCCTATGTTTCCACGATTCTATGTTCCATGGTCCTGGTCCCTCTGTTCCCAAGATCATATATTACCAGGGTCCCATATTTCCAGGGTCCTATGTTCCCAAGATCCTATGTTCCAAGGGTCCTATGTCCCTAAGATCTTATGTTCTCAGGGTCCTACGTTCCCAAGATCCTATGTTACCAGTGTCCTATGTCCCAAAGATCTTATGTTACCAGGGTCCTATGTCCCTAAGATCTTATGTGCTCAGGGTCCTGTGTTCCCAAGATATGTTCTCTGGATACTATGCTCCCAGGGTCCTGTGTTCCCAAGATCTTAAGTTCTCAGGGTCCTATGTTCCCAAGATCTTATGTTCTCTGGATACTATGCTCCCAGGGTCTTATGTTCCTAGGGTGCTATGTTTACAGAGTCCTATGTTTCCACGATTCTATGTTCCATGGTCCTGGTCCCTCTGTTCCCAAGATCATATATTACCAGGGTCCCATATTTCCAGGGTCCTATGTTCCCAAGATCCTATGTTCCAAGGGTCCTATGTCCCTAAGATCTTATGTTCTCAGGGTCCTACGTTCCCAAGATCCTATGTTACCAGTGTCCTATGTCCCAAAGATCTTATGTTACCAGGGTCCTATGTCCCTAAGATCTTATGTGCTCAGGGTCCTGTGTTCCCAAGATATGTTCTCTGGATACTATGCTCCCAGGGTCCTGTGTTCCCAAGATCTTAAGTTCTCAGGGTCCTATGTTCCCAAGATCTTATGTTCTCTGGATACTATGCTCCCAGGGTCTTATGTTCCTAGGGTGCTATGTTTACAGAGTCCTATGTTTCCACGATTCTATGTTCCATGGTCCTGGTCCCTCTGTTCCCAAGATCATATATTACCAGGGTCCCATATTTCCAGGGTCCTATGTTCCCAAGATCCTATGTTCCAAGGGTCCTATGTCCCTAAGATCTTATGTTCTCAGGGTCCTACGTTCCCAAGATCCTATGTTACCAGTGTCCTATGTCCCAAAGATCTTATGTTCCCAGGGTCCTATGTCCCTAAGATCTTATGTTCCCAGGATCCTATGTCCCTAAGATCTTATGTTCTCAGGGTCCTATGTTCCCAAGATCCTATGTTCTCTAGATACTATGCTCCCAGGGTCCTTTGTTCCCAGGGTCCTGTGTTCCCAAGATCTTATGTTCTCAGGGTCCTATGTTCCCAAGATCTTATGTTCTCTGGATACTATGCTCCCAGGGTCTTATGTTCCCAGGGTGCTATGTTTACAGAGTCCTATGTTTCCATGATTCTATGTTCCATGGTCCTGGTCCCTCTGTTCCCAAGATCATATATTATCAGGGTCCCATATTTCCAGGGTCCTATGTTCCCAAGATCCTATGTTACCAGGGCCCTATGTTCCAAAGATCCTATGTTCCCAGGGTCCTATGTTCCCAAGATCCCATGTTCCCAGGGTCTGATGATCCCAAGATCCTATGTTACCATGGCCCTATGTACCCAAGATCCTATGTTCCCAGGGTCCTATGTTCCCAAGATCCCATGTTCCCAGGGTCTTATTTTCCCAAGATCCTATGTTCCCAGGGTTCTATGTTCCCAAGATCCCATGTTTCCAGGGTCTTATTTTCCCAAGATCCCATGTTCCCAGGGTCTTATTTTCCCAAGATCCTATGTTCCCAGGGTTCTATGTTCCCAAGATCCCATGTTCCCAGAGTCCTAGGTTTTCAAGTTCAGTATTCTGTTTACACATATTAACCCTCCTGTTGTGTTTGAGCTGTTTCAAGTTGAAATATTTCATAAATAAACTAACCTGACCCCAAACATCTT